TCATCAGTCTCAGGTTTATGTTATTTTGCATCGGTACTTTGATTTGGTTTTAACTGGTATTTATGTCTCATTTGAATTTGTGTTGCTGCTCTTGTTTTGCGCCTTTCTGTTTCCTTTTACCTTCGGGGATAATAATTGTCTTAAATACTACTTTTAGTTTAAATTGATTGAAGATTGCAGAAATTAACGTATGTGGTTGAAAGTCATTAAGATGGTTGTAGAAATATGGCATATACAGATATACTTGAAAGTGATTAACATGGTTTAGATTTTTTAGCTCAAAGTCTATTGTGTTTGGCATCAACACTTCTGCTTGCCTTTCACGGCATTGTGAAAGAACCTGCATAATATTAGTTGCACAGGTCATTTGTATATTTCATTCTGAACAGTTCCTTTAGCTCGATCATTATATTTATTCCAAGTTTTCCTTCATCTGTCTTTTGTGTTATTTTTTTTAATGACATATGTCAAAAAATGTTTGTGTTCGGCTGTAATAACGCTATTCCATGACGTTTCTTATAAAAGTCGTCGTATCATCTGAGGCTGCATAGCCACTAGTCCTTTCTGCTTATTTCTTCTTCACTTTTTGAAAAAATCATAAAACTTCCAGCTATTTATTTTAGCTATTGGGAACAATTGCAGCTCAGGAGGTGCTGATGGAGGAACTCCTGCCAAAGACGCCCTTGGGAACGATGTCATTGCTTCTGAATGGCTGAAGAATCATGGGCCTAATGATAGAACACTCACCCAAGGGTTAAGGGTATTTTATACATGCTACATATACCTTCTGTCATATTTTAAAAACTTCACCTGAAGTGAGCTACTTAGTATTATCAAATGTTCGGTTTATATTGTTCTATTTAGTATTATCTCATGAACATTTTATAGTTCTACTGTTCTTATTTTAATGAATGTCCACATCCATACTTCTGTATGTAAAGCCATTTCCTCGTCTACTTCTGAATTTGGAGAAATATTTTGGAGAAATAAGTCATTATTTTTCTTCGTTTTTATGAATTTATTTGGAGCTTGTGGTTTCCTACGGATAGATATTATCTTATAGACTTGGCCTTCATAAAGCTCTTGGCCTCTTAAGCTTTATGGCAATACTAAATCCTTGGAGCAATGTACGTGTTATTTGTGGTTATTTCACTTACCGTTGCTATGAATAAGAATTAATGGCATTATAAAGTTTATGTTTCTACTAACCTAATAATTCAATATAGTTAAAAGTTTTTAAACCACCATGAATGAATTTTATCTAGTAATATGTCAACAAATTTTGTTGTTCTACATCTACAATCAATGGTATGCATCCTGTGAAAGCAAGCAGCATTGAGTTCTCTATTACGTTCATGCTTGTTTGCCATGCTTTTTGGGAATTTACAACCACATTTTTTAGAGAGAAAAATTTATTCACCACATTTCGTCCATGATTAGGTTCTCTGCTATACATACAATTCACTCCTTGATCTAGGCCATGCAGGTGGTTTATTCATTTGGTTGTCTCTTTGAGTATTGAGGGCGGCTGTATGGTGTACGAGTAACTTCCGCATTCAGAACATAATAAAAAAACAAGTGAAAAACTGCAGAAGGTGTTCATCTCCAAGATCATAAATCTCTCTTCTTCTCTTTAAAATTAGATGGTCACTATCCTAATCAAAACCATGCGCTACTTTGGTCGTGACTCTTCTAGAGAAAGAACAGAAATGAGTCCAATTTAACCTCATCATTTTTTAGGGAGATCCTATAGCACTATATCAGTCTTTTAACTTGATCACTATTGCAGGGAGATCCTACCTATCTTGTTGTGGAGAGTGACAGAACACTTGCAACCTATGGAATCAATGCTGTCTGCACTCACCTTGGTTGTGTCGTCCCATGGAACGGTGCTGAGAACAAGTTCATCTGCCCCTGCCACGGATCACAGTACAATAATCAAGGAAAGGTTGTTAGGGGACCTGCTCCTTTGGTAAGCCTGTCACTTTTCTTAACTTTTTTTAATTAATTTGGGGATATTCAAACTTTTATTGTCTAGTTGATCAATTTACAGCTATCTGCTATCAAATCTCTCTTTTTGTATTGAAAAATTAAATATTGCTACATACAAGGAGGGGGGTGGTGGGGGTGTTAAGTTAAGTGTAGTATGAAGATTAATGTTTACTTAATTGTACGAGATAGTTCTAATGCATTGTGAAATGTCATTTGTTGTAAAATGCAAGAAAAAGAATAATCCTACCTATACATGTCATAACCTCTTTTTGTGTCGAAAATTAATATTTCATTTCTTTTGTTACTTATTGTTATTTTGTACATTATGCTTGACGTTGATTTAACTATGCTATTGGAAATTTTAGATTTATGTAAACAGGAAAACAAATGTTTGTCTGATGGAGCTCCTTCTTTACTCCATAAATCATTTTTTACCTTCTTGGTTAGTCATATAATATGCATGCACTTTGGTAGAATTAAATCTGATATGATTTTTTTTTTGGGTGACAGTCGTTGGCTTTGGCACATGCTGATGTGGATGATGACAAGGTAATATTCGTCCCCTGGGTTGAAACTGACTTCAGAACTGGCGATGCTCCTTGGTGGGCTTAATCTCTCGATGTAAATTTGCCTAAAGTGTCAATATCTAATATTTACATCCTTTCCCTTTCAAGGACCCTATTTTTTTTCATAAAGGAAAAACATATAATGTTGTGTTTAAAAGTACTCAATTTGAGATTTAGTTGTGGTAATCAATTATTCATCAGTTCTGTGTATGATACATCTTTGATGTTGGTAACTATTGCAGAGACGAGTTGCCAAGAAATCAATCTTGGCTGTACCAAGATTTTCATATGTGATATTATACGAGATTTCATCATCTCCTTCGCAAGTACTGGCTTAGAACTAAAATCACATGATATGTGCAATTTCCAAATGAATTGAAAGATTGCCTACTATTTTTTGAAATATCATAGAATATGCAACGAAATAAAAATAATAATAAGCAAAATATTAAGCAAAGCAAATTACACAAAAAAATCACAGCCAAAACACAATATTTTAAAGCAGTTTGGATAAACAATCATACATCCACTCTTCCTTCTTACAAAGGGTCTTCCTCACTATGTGAACATTCTCTGAATCACACACTCGATTCCGTATATTTTACAAGACCACATCCTAGATAACCCTAATCTAGTCGTCTACACAAGCTCTTCACGTACAAGTAACTCTCGCCCTAGCTAATACCTAATTCCTCAATTAACCTCGGCTTGAGTCCACCATAAATCCTCAATTTATCCTAGCTTGAGTGTGTTGTAAACCCTCAATTCATCCTAGCTTGAGTACACCGTAAAAATAAATTTAATAAAATAAAACAAATACCACTTAAACACAAATAGAAAGATCTTACAACCCTTTTTGATTTGTGATCGTTCTCCATAGGATTTTCTATGGAGTTCTAGAAGAACGATGATGATTTTGAAGTCTGAGGGCAACACTTCTCGAAGGCTAATGATCAAATGATGAAGAACGACATCAATGATGCTTTCTGAAAAGCTCGAGCAAGATCCTTTCACCAAATTGAATTAGGTTAGGAATATCTCTGAAAATTATTAGGAAAAAGCCTATATACCCCTAGCAATGAACGTCTAAGATTAAGTCCAAACAAATCAAAAATTAAAAATCTGGTAGCCAGTCATTGATGGGCAAGTGTGCTCATCAATGAGCAAGGCCACATCGATGAGTACTATTACTCGTCGATGAATCAATGAGTACTATTACTCGTCGATGAATCAATGAGTACTATTACTCATCGATGGATAACATGTTTATGGACTTTGCTCATCGATGAGTACATGAAAAGTACTCCATATTGTAGATCATGTTGAGAACTTTCACAAAACATATTATAATAGAGATTCTGATAGTCGAGTCAAAAGTTATGACCCATGCAAGTTTCAGCATGATGTTTTTTTTGACCCTATCTCGCTAGAACGTCCATATCTCGAGCTATACATCTCTAAATGGAGTTCCATTTATTTCTCTAAATTTGTGAAAAAGAGATGAACTCTCCTATATGCCAAAGTTGACTTTATCTTCTAATACATTTCTAGGATTAATTGTAACTGAATTATTGTCATGCCCTCTGTAAAAATATTTTATTGATGGGGTTTGGAAATTGGTGATCAAGTAGTGCTCATCCATAAATAATATGCTCATCGATGAATGAGGTCTCTCTGTAAAAATTTACCATCTATACAAAGTTGTTGATTGATGAATTAGCTCCAAATTCGTCAAGAGAACCAATGCTCATCGATGATCAAATGCTCATCGATGAGCCAATTGGGTCATTGATGGACAAGGTGCTGAGAACACCCTGTTGAGCAAAAAATTCTTCTGTTTGTTTTCAATATCGAATTCTAACCTATATTAAATATCTTATACACATATTAAACCAATATGAAGGTTTATTATTTATCAAACTAAGTCAATTGTACAGACACGATCCTAATACAATTATGTTAAAACTCATAGTCTACTACTATCACAACAATAACGAAAAAAGCTAATCTTGGATGTTTTTTGTTTTTCCAAGTCAAATTATTTACAAAGTACATTTTTTTAGAATATCAAATTTTGAAATTTCTCAATTCACATTACTAGCAACAAACAGAACCTTAGATTGCAGCCCTTTTTTTAATCATCGTTGGTGCACACAGATGCAATGTGATTTGGATACTATACACCATCAATTATACTATCAAATATTGATAGATAGGTCACGTCGATCACAACCATCTATAGCGAAGCCATTTTTTTTAATTCAAAACATCAAGTTAATTATATGTAACAATGTCAATAAAAAACATCCAAGCTAAAAAAACCCCCCTAACACAACCAACTACTTGTTTCAAAGCCTCTCCCTATCAGACTATAGCACACTTTGCAAAAATAGTGGAGGGTCTTCAAGTCATATACCACATAGTCATCAAGATCCTTCGCTCTCTGGGCCAATACATGAGCTGCTTCATTCCCTGTTCAATGGACTAGCTAAAAATCTCAGTCCTCTAGTTTTGAACAAGAAAGCCGAATATCATCCATGATATGCCCGTAAAGACGAGTGTTGCTCCAAACTATTATGAATGTCTCTAATTATTGCCTCAGCATCTCCTTCAAAAACTACTTTCCAGAATCTAGTACCCCGAGCAAACTTCACAACTTCCCACGCCGCTTGAATTTCAACATGCTGAGCATTATTACCTCGTATCCGAATTAATTTTGACATGATCGCATAAAACCCCCCTTCAAGGTTCCTCACAATCAGACCCACACCCATCGCCCTCTTTTCTAAAAATACAGCTCCGTCAAAATTCACTTTCCAGATGCCTATGCAAGGAGCGCGCCACACCTCTGGTACTGCACTAGCAATGACACTCACATGTGGTTCCTGCAAATTAAAAAAAAAAAAAAAAAAAATTCATTTTGTGGTTCCTGCAAATTAAAAAAAAAAAAAAAAAAATTCATTCTATATTCTGGAGCACAACACACAATCTCCACTGCCTCTTGTGCATGCCCGTGGTGTTTTGTTTCATTTTGGTTTTTCCATAGAAGCCAACATATGACAATTACTAGCTCGAAGCTATCTGAATCTAGCCTATCATATCCTCAAGATTATGCCCTTGTTGAATCATACTCCGACCCTCCTCCATCACCCCACGCAACGTAATACCTAAAATTGCCCACACTAGGTGAGCAAATGGGAAAAGATATAAAACATGCTCGATAGATTCCTTGGTATATTTGTACACTCAGCAAACTTCCCATATAATCATGCCTTTTCTTTGCAAAATTTGTCGAACTAGAATGGCACAGCCTCCGTGCAAAGTGTTTTATTTTATTTGGAAGTTACATATTCCATATGAATTTCCAATCCAAAGCCGGCCCATAACTCATACTACCATAATCTTTAACTCCGATGTCAATAGCACGATCAGTAATCAACTGATATGCACTGTGAACTATAAACATCCCATTTTGCCTGTAATACCATATTAACTTATCCTAGTTTAAACTGGATCCTAGCGGTATTTTCTTAATTGCTTTTGCTTCTGGGGCAAAAAAAGCTTCTCATTCCATTCACACTTCCCTGCAACAAAGCACTCGTTAACTATGGCTTCTAATGACAAAGAGTTCAAAGGGGTTTGGATTCTAGAAGTACTCTAGGGTATAGGAATCCGTGGATTTCGTCATATTCTTATTATCCTCCTATTACCCACTCTCCATCAAGACCCCACTTTGATCACCTCTAAAGATGAAAAAAATACTTCTCTACGCAAAAGTGGGTTGAGATCCTACCTGCGGTTTGAAAACATCTCCCTCTTTGAAATAATTACAGCTGAACACCTAAACAACAAAGATTCCCTATTCATAACCAACCTCCACATTTGTTTCGCTAATAAAGCTAATTTAAAAGCTTTAAAAAAATGAAAACCTAGGCCACCATCATGTTTCCTTGCACATAATTTATCCCAAGAGACCCTGTTCATCTTCTTTTTTCTATTTACCTCTCCCCACGAAAAATTCTGAACCATACATTCTAATTTGGTGCAGAGATAATTAATATGGTAGCTTGAAACAACTCACGGTGTATATATGTTGGCACTGCTTGAAGTACTGCTTTAATTAACACATCCTTGCTAGCTTTTGAGAGAAGTTTTGATGACCAACCCTGAATTTTGGCCCAAACTCGTTTTTTAATACTTGTAAAAACTTCCTTTTTTGACAAGCCTACTATCAAAGGCAACCCTAAGTACTTCTCATGTCGATCAACCGCTTCAACCCTATGTACCCCAGAGCACTCTACTTGTATGATCATTGTTGTGTTCTTGCTAAAAATGATGGCCGATTTCTTTCTTTAAAATCCATTTCTATGGATTCGGATCCTCTCCACTACAAAAAAAAAAATAGTGGATGACCCACTACATAATCACAGCCATTGATTATCTAGTTGATGGTTATGATTTTTTCTTTTAGTGTAAATTAGGAATGAGTGCAATACACGGGGGAATGGTAAGTGTTAGATTTAGATTGTATCATAACCGCCTACTAAATAATCAACGCTTGAGATTAAAAGTAGTGGTCTCTCCACTACTTTTTTGTAGTGGAGAGGATCCAAATCCCTATAAATTTATTATTTGTCCCAAGGCGCTTTTATATTTATTTAACACTTGTCTCACAATTTCACATTTCTTCTTTGTTGCATGGAAAAATAGCAAATTGTCATCGGCAAAAAAAGATGAGAAATTGACTGACATCCACCGGCAACTGAAACTCCATGCAAACGCCCATGATTCTCAGCATCTCTTATAAGCGCTGTAAGTCCCTCAGCACATAAAAGAAAAAGATAAGGAGATAAAGGGTCTCCTTGACGAATTCCCCTTTCTAGTCGAAAACGAAGTAATGGGTTGCTATCGATCATCACCGAGAAAGATGTTGTATATAGATAAGTCATTATTAGAGTAATTCATGTATCAGCAAACCCTATTTTTTGCATGATATGCTCTAAGTAAACTCACTCCCCCCTGTCGTAAGCTTTACTCATATCTAACTTGAGTGCTGCATAGCTCTGACCGCCACCTGTTTTTCATTTGAGATATTGATTGACCTCGAATGCAATGAGAACATTGTATGTAATCAATCTAGTAGGGACAGAAGCACTCTGGCTTCCTCTGCTCCTGCTTTGCATTTTTCTGGATGATCATTATATGTGTGT